AGTGAGCTATATAATCCGCCAACTATTTCAGAGTGTTGAAAAGTGGATGGGCAATTCTTTTGATGATGTAAAACATATTTCCTAAGAATCACTATATTTTTTCCTAAGAAATACATTGGTAGAAATAATAATAGCAAACATTTGTAGACTGTTATGACTAGGAGGCAGTGTTTCCAATAGTTTACATAGATTGACTTCTTTCTCAGGGCATCTGGGTGGCTCAGTCTGTGAAGTGTCCGACTCTTGGTTTTGGCTGAGATCATGATTTCACGGTCGTGAGGTCATGCGCTGCATGGAGCCTGCTTAATATTCTCTCCCTCTTCCTCTGCCCCTCCCCAACTCACATACATGCTGTCTCCAAAAAATAAAATAAATGAAGAAAAAAACCTTATTTCTCATAACAAACCACCCTTATATTACAGATAAGGAAACGGACTTTTAAAAAACAATTCTTGTAAAGTTCACTATCTTTTTCTGGGGTACAGTTTTATTCATTTTAATGCAGGTATAAATGTAGATAATCACCACCATCATCCGATGCAGAGCAGTCCCATCAGCTCCCCAAATTCCCCTCCTGTTTTCTCTTCATAATCATCCTTCACCACATCTGTAACTACCGGCAACCACTAGACCCCTACAGGCTTGTCTTTTTGAGAGTGTCATATAAATGAACTCATACCATATGTAAACTTTTGAGGCTGGCTTCTTTCACTCAGCATAATGCTTTTGACATTCATCCACACTGTATGTATCACAGGTTCATCTGGCTAAGTGTTGACCATTCTTGCTGGTTAATACTCCATTAATTAATAAATATATATAATATATATTATAGTTTATCTACTCATCCATCTACTGAAGGGTATTTGGGTTGTTTCCGGTTCTTGGCTGTTATGAATAAGCTGCTATAAACATTTGTGTGTAGATTTTTGTGCCTATTTCTCTAGTGTATATAGCCAGGAATAGGAATGTTGGGTCCTATGGGGATTGTATATTTAACATTATAAGAAACTACCAAACTGTGCTCCGGGCTGTCTACCGTCCTGCATTTCCACTAATGATGCATGAAAGTTCCAGTTGCTCCACACCTTGGTCGTCATTTAGCATTGTCTGTATTTTACTTTTAATTTTAGCCATTCTAATGAACGTGTATTACAATCTCATTGTGACTTTATTATTTTTTTTTTAATTTTTTTTTTCAACGTTTATTTATTTTTGGGACAGAGAGAGACAGAGCATGAACGGGGGAGGGGCAGAGAGAGAGGGAGACACAGAATCGGAAACAGGCTCCAGGCTCCGAGCCATCAGCCCAGAGCCCGACGCGGGGCTCGAACTCACGGACCGCGAGATCGTGACCTGGCTGAAGTCGGACGCTTAACCGACTGCGCCACCCAGGCGCCCCTCATTGTGACTTTAACTTACATTTCCCTAGTGACTAATGATGTTCAGCAGATCTGTTTTTCACTTATTTGCCATCCTTGTATCTTCTTGGCTGAAGCGTTTATGTTTTGGTGAAGACAGTCTGCTCTAATGAGATGCTTCACTTTGTCTTTAAAGTTTACTCATTTTTAGAGAAAGAGAGAGAGAGGGCAAGTATGAGCTGAGAAGGGGCAGAGGGAGAGGGAGAGAAAGAAGATCCCAAGCAGACTCGGTGCTGTCAGCACAGAACCCGATGTGGGGCTTGATTCCATGAACCACAAGATCACGACCTGAGCCAAAATCAGGAGTCGGATGCTTAACCAACTGAGCCATCCAGGCGCCCCGATGAGACATTTCATTTTAAATTTTCGAATTTTTCTTTCTTTCTTTCTTTCTTTTTTTTTTTTTTTTTTTGTAGTTTCAAGTTTTTATTTAAATTCCAGTTAGTTAACATATATTGTAATGTTCGTTTCAGGAGCAGAATTTAGTGATTCATTATTTACGTATAAAACCCAGTGCTCATCACACATGCCCTCCTTAGTACCGATCATCCATTTAACTCATCCCCCCAGCTCCCCTCCCCTCCAGCAACCCTCAGTTTGTTCTCTATAGTTAAGAATCTGTTTTATGATTTGCCTCTCTCATTTTTCCTCCTATGCTCATCTGTTTCATTTCTTAAATTCCACGTAGGCATGAAATCATATAGTATTTGTCTGTCTTTGATGGACTTTTTTCGCTTAGCATAGTACACTTTAACTCCATCCATGTTGTTGCAAATGGCAAGATTTCATTCTTTTTGATGTCCGAGTAATATTCCAGGCCACAACTTCTTCATCCATTCATCAGTCAGTGGACATTTGGGCTATTTCCATAATTTGGCTATTGTTGGTAATGCTACTGTAAACATCGGGGTGCATGTATCCCTTTGAATCGGTATTTTGGTATCCTTTGGGTAGATATCTAGTGCAAATTGTTGGATTGTAGGATAGTTCTATTTTTTACTTTTTGAAGACCCTCCATACTGTTTTCCAGAGTGGCTGCACTAGTTTGCATTCTGACTTTTCTCGACATCCTCGCCAACATCTGTTGTTTCCTGTGTGGTTAATGTTAGCTATTCTGACAGGTGTGAGGTGATACCTCGTCGTTTTGATTTGTATTTCCCTGATGATGAGTGATTTTTTTTTCAACGTTTTATTTATTTTTGGGACAGAGAGAGACAGAGCATGAACGGGGGAGGGGCAGAGAGAGAGGGAGACACAGAATCGGAAACAGGCTCCAGGCTCCGAGCCATCAGCCCAGAGCCCGACGCGGGGCTCGAACTCACGGACCGCGAGATCGTGACCTGGCTGAAGTCGGACGCTTAACTGACTGCGCCACCCAGGCGCCCCGATGATGAGTGATTTTGACCATCTTTTCCTGTGTCTGTCAGTCATCTGTATGTTTTGGGGGAAATGTCCATTCATGTCTTCTGCCCATTTCTTCACTGGATTATTTCTTTTTTGGGTGTTGAGTTTGATAAGTTCTTTATAGATGGTGGATACTAACCCTTTATCAGCTATGTCATTTGCAAATATGTTCTCCCTAAATGTGAGGCAGAAAACCATCAAAATCCTAGAGGGTTACAGGCAGGAATCTCTTTGACATTGGCTGTAGCAACTTCTTACTAAATATCTCTCCTGAGGCAAGGGCAATAAAAGCAAACATGAACTGTTGGGACTTCATCAAAATAAGAAGCTTCTGCACAGAGAAGGAAACAATCAAAAAGACCAAAAGACAACCTTTGGAATTTGTTTTCTAATTTTTCTGACCACTCCCTTACTGTGAATTGAGGATATTTGTGATGAGGGCTTGGTCTGATAATGTTGATGTGTGTGTGTGTGTGTGTGTGTGTGTGTGTGTGTGTGTGTATGTATTGATGTATGTGTATATATACACTCACATATATGTGTGTGTGTATGTATATATATATGTGTATGTGTGTATATATATATCTTTGCCTTCTAATTCACTAACAAAATATTTCACTCCATTGTGCCTTGAAAGTAAGACTTTGAAAGTCTATTTTTATCTTCTTGTTTTGATGTAATTAGGATGTACCTGTAATACAAGTTAAAACGTTGTGGTATAGCAATATATGTGCTACTTGAAGTGCTTGTGATTTATAACCGAGTCACGGTGATTTGGATTGTGATTTGTAACAGTACAACATAGTAAGTTGCACATATTCAATGCAGTTGTTGCAACTATACGATTCTGCTGTGGTATGAAAGCAGCCAGAAACAATACTTAAACAATGAACATGGCTCTGTTCTAGCAATGCCTTATAGAATTTGTGAATTAATATCTATGAAATTTGATTTTTTCATGTGTCATAAGATAATAGTCTTTAAAATTTTTTTTTCAACCATTAAAAAAATCAGTGTGAATCCATCACTAAGAATGGTAAAAGCCAGGGGCGCCTGGGTGGCTCAGTCGGTTAAGCGTCCAACTTCAGCTCAGGTCATGATCTCACGGTTTGTGGGTTCCAGCCTGTGTCAGGCTCTGTGCTGACAGCTCAGAGCCTGGAGCCTGCTTCCAATTCTGTGTCTGCCTCTCTCTCTGTCCCTCTCCCCCTCATGCTCTGTCTCTTTCTCTCAAAAATTAATGAACGTTAAAAAAAATTTCTTTTAATTTTAAAGATGAATAATGAAATAAGATCTAAATAAATTTTAAAATACCCATCCATCATTAAACTTTTCAGGAAGGTGGTCTCAGTGTGTAAATATGAAGTAAGTCCTCTTTGCCACCCAGATGCCTTACAAGACACGTTTACAAGGATGGTTTTATGATGAAGATTAGTATCTGGTTTTCTCACAATAGAAATTGGTATAATTGCAATAGTTTTCTGCTATTCACGCGTAATCCTAATAGCAATCGGATAATGTCGGTTCCATTATGATCCTCCTGCTTTAGGTTACAGAAATGAAACATGGAGAGGTTGTTAATTAACCATGGTTAAATAGATGCATATATTGTATATTATAGGCACTATAATATATATTACGTTATGTATTATTTATTGTATACAATATGTTATATATTATGTTACATATTGTATATAATATATATAATATATATGTTATATGTATGTTATATATTGTGTATAATACATGTGTTATATATTGTCATACGTCATATATTGTATATAATATTTACGATACATATTATATGTTCTATATTACGCATGCGTATGCTGTGGCAGTGCCAACATATAGCAGATATACAGCAAACACACAACGGTGCCAGGTTTTGAAACAGACTTTTGTGCCCGAGTCCACTTCTAACCAGGACGTCCCAGGGCCTCTCCTTTCCCACGTGTCGCGGGATCGGCGCGAGTTCCTTAGGAGCAGAAAGGCAACGTGAGGAGCGAGGGCTGAGGGTCACTGTGCGGCCTGTCCCCTGCTTGCGGGCGTCCTGCCAGGAGGAACCTCACGGGCGGCTGGAATCCGGCCGACACTGGGCCGCCTGTTTCTCTTTTGCACCAAGCTGCGTTTCCCTCCCTCGCCGGGTTCCTTTCTCAGTGCCTTGTTTTGCCTTCTCAGGTGCCCGCCTTTCCCTGGGAAAAGGAGGAGAAAATGATCAAGTTCCAGGTGAGCTGGAGTTTTCACTTCCGTCACTGAGCGCATTATTTCACTTCTCACTGAGGGGGACACGCTTTTTTGTCTTCCTTGCCAAGAAGAAAGAACTACAGATGTTTAAGACCATCGAGGTGCCACGCAGTTTCTTTTTAAAGCACGTTTTCCTTTCAGTTTCTGTTTTATGTTCCTATTATTGCACAAACAATAGTGTGCAAGAGAAATAGACATTTTAAAAAATGGGAGGCACCTGACCGGCTCAGTCGGTGGAGTGTGTGTGTGACTCTTGATCTCGGGGTTGTGGGTTTGAGCCCCACATCGGGTATAGAGATTAGTAAAAAATAAAATCTTTTAAAAAAAGAATTAAAAAAAAATTTTTAATGTTTACTTATTTTTGAGACAGAGACAGAGCATGAACGGGCGAGGGGCAGAGAGAGAGGGAGACACAGAATCGGAAACAGGCTCCAGGCTCTGAGCCATCAGCCCAGAGCCCGACGCGGGGCTCGAACTCACGGACCGCGAGATCGTGACCCGGGCTGAAGTCGGACGCTTAACCGACTGAGCCACCCAGGCGCCCCAAAAAAAGAATTTTTAAAAAAAACTTTATTTGAGAGAAAGAGAGAGAGTGTGTGAGCAGGGGAGGGGCAGAGAAAGAGGGAGAGAGAATCTTAAGCAGGCTCCATGCTGGGCGTGGCACCCAGTTCAATGTGGGGCTCAATCTCGTGACTATGAGATCATGACCTGAGCTGAAATCGAGTCAGACACTTAACTGACTGAGCCACCCAGGTGCCCCTGCCAAAAAAAAAACCCCAAAAAACAAAAAGTTTTTTTTTTTTAATTTTTTTTCAACGTTTATTTATTTTTGGGACAGAGAGAGACAGAGCATGAACGGAGGAGGGACAGAGAGAGAGGGAGACACAGAATCGGAAACAGGCTCCAGGCTCCGAGCCATCAGCCCAGAGCCCGACGCGGGGCTCGAACTCACGGACCGTGAGATCGTGACCTGGCTGAAGTCGGACGCTTAACCGACTGCGCCACCCAGGCGCCCCAAAAACAAAAAGTTTTAAAGATGAAAAGGCCCACACATTATTCTGCTTATAAATTACCTTTTTCCACAGTCACTTCATATGCATTATGATATACAATAATAGCTATAATTTTGAATTTTTTTCACTTAAAATTATTTCACCTAACATGTGTCATCTTTTATTAATTTCAATGAACTGCCATCCCTGCCCCCTTTTCAACTATGCCCCATTCACAAGTTAAGTTCTTGAGAATTCTCGCAGTTTAAAGCAACAGTATCGGTTTTACTACTGACAATCTTTCCAAAAAAGCAATTTGAGAGAATTCTGATACAATTTATCCTTCTGTTGTAGGGACTCAAAACTAAAAAAAAAAAAGAAAAAATCTTTTTTCCTAATGCCTTGGCTACTTTATAAAAAGAATACCTAAAAGGTGGTTCTGTCTAACCGAATCCTACTGAAGCTGAACGCAGAAAAAAATTGTGTGAGATGTTTTCAGACAAAAAGAGCTACATTTTGTTTTTCTTCCCAAGACCTGAAACTTTCTTTGCGTGTGTCTGTGGATGTGTCCTTGTGTTTCACTCCTTGTATATTAACTCATTTTGTTAGGCCGATAGACTTCATTAAAAAAAATTTTAGTCAGACTATAGGACAGGCAGGCACTTTGCACCTGTTCCTTTATTCACTGCCCCGAGGGGAATTTAGAATAATCTGCAGTATTAACATGAAAGTAAGACGGCCCTGGAGGTCCAAGTCCTACTCAAGTTCCTACAGCAGACAAGTGTCTGGCCAACTCCAAAGCCTTTCCCTCCTGGATCAAGAGTATCAGGCACATCGTTTGGGAGGAAAGAGAGGCAAAACAAAACAAAACAAAATCCAAAACCAAAGCCGTGTTCTCACGCAGAGACTGAAGGCCTCGGGTCGTGATATTTAGAGCTCCAGCTAGAACAAGTGCAGTGTTGACCCGGTCTTCATACAAAAGATTTAAACCCCCTGCAGTAAAAAGTTAGAAGACAAACAGCAAAGTAGAATGCGAAGTATTCACAGCGTATTTGGAAGAAAAGGACTGAATGTCCCCCAAACGAATATTTGGAATGCGACAAGAAATAGAGACGCCCAGCACATACGTGAAGAGGGAATGGTCTTCATTGCTAGCCACCTTTGTAAACATTTTGCTAAATAGCTGGTGTTTACTTTCCGTGTCTACTTCTGAGATTATCAGAGATTTTTTTGTTTTTTTTTTTTAGGTATTCATGTCTAGTGTTGGCCAGGGTATAGAGGTTTAGGAATTTATACTTGGAAGAAGAAGAAGCGAGAAAAATCTTTTTGGAGGAAACACCTGTCGTTAAGAGCTCAAAACACTAAAAGCTGTCCTTCAGCATTACCATTTCTACTTTTTGGAATTTATTTTAAGGGGATGAGCCAGGATCTATGTGAAAGGATTTTTTTTTTTCAGCCTTGTTTATAATAGATAAGCTGAAACTAAGTCAGCATGCATCGTTTGGATCAGTGCATTGTATCCTAGGCCATCAGCTCCTTGACTTACTATACAGCCCCGCAATGGGATGAAAGCTGGTCGTAAGAGTGATTATGATAACAGTTCACATCTATCGGGTACTCTAGGTCACTCGTTTTATTATCAGTACCCTATGCTGTGCATATCAGCATGCAGGTGAGAGAATCAAGAGCTTTTCCAAGGTCACATAGCTAGCATGAGGCAGAGCCTTCCCGCGTGAAGCCTTGCCCACATCACAACATTATAAACGCTGCACACTCCAGAGGGGGTACAGAGGACGAACTAGACGCTTCAACAGTAAGGGTGACTTTAAAATATCGGTAGTCCATGATGCCACAGTTCCAGGGACTTACCTGTAAGAGTGCCAACAAAAGGGAGCAATTTATTTGTGTGGCAGCAACTTGGTGTGCAAGGAGTTCTTTTCTTGCAGCCCTTTTGGTGGCTGGAATGAGTAGTGTAGAAGGCAAACAGAAGGCAGCTACTTCGATTGGGTCCCCAGATTCTAGAACAGCTTCCCATCCTTGACACACACTTCATGCTGCCCCCTTCCATAAGCATGGTCTGTGTGTGCTTGGTGTTTGTAGGAGCCGGTGATGTTCAAGGATGTGGCCGTGGTCTTCAGTGAGGAGGAGCTGGGGCTGCTGGGCCCCACCCAGAGGAAGCTGTACCGAGACGTGATGCTGGAGAACTTCCGGAACCTGGTCTCTGTGGGTGAGGACAGGCATGCGGTGACTGAATGCCAGCCGACTTGGGGTGTCTTTATTTTTTTTTTTTAAATTTTTTTTCAACGTTTTTATTTATTTTTGGGACAGAGAGAGACAGAGCATGAACGGGGGAGGGGCAGAGAGAGAGGGAGACACAGAATCGGAAACAGGCTCCAGGCTCCGAGCCATCAGCCCAGAGCCCGACGCGGGGCTCGAACTCATGGACCGCGAGATCATGACCTGGCTGAAGTCGGACGCTTAACCGACTGCGCCACCCAGGCGCCCCGACCTTGGGGTGTCTTTAAATGTGCTCGGGTGTTCCAAGCTCTGGGACTCTTGAAACCATCCTCTGAGCTTGGCCAAATAAGAGACCTAATAATCCCTGTACAACACAGACAAGATGTCTCTGTCTAGGCAAAAATCCGTCCTTCCAACTATGTAAATGGGCAAATTGTGGTTCTGCAACATGGTTTGTTGTGAAATCAATTTAGTGAGTTGCTCAGCTTCTCCCCACC